ACAAACAACGAATTTTCTTAATGAAAAATTTTATGCTTATGTTTTTTTTTTTTTTCACATCTAAAACTAATGAGATTAGTTCGGGATTTTATAGTTAAAAAATAATATTTTTTAAATTATTTGTTCAATTTTGAAATGCTAGAATAATTTAGGGAGAAATTTTCCTCCAAAAAAAAAAGGCAAATTTATAGTTTAGTATTTTAGTGGTAACTTACATTTCATTAGTTAACAGAAAAATTGACGAAATTATTTAATTTACATTTAAAAAAAAATTGGTATACTCAAAAAAATAAATGAATAAAATTCATGTATTCAATTAAAAAAAAAATTATAATTTGTTATTCTAGAGGTAACAAATATGTCACTCGTTTAATGAAAAAAATTGACGAAAATACTTGATTGATAGTTTTAAAAAATTAGTATATTCAAATGAAAAATAAAGTTCATATACTCGATTAAAAAAAATTAAAAATTAACATATTTATAATGCAATTATTATCGTTATTATCATCATTCCAAAGCTTTGATACATGCTCAATTAAATGTAAAATATCTCCACCAAACAACCTATGCAAAACAAGACTGTGTCTTGTTCATCTATGTGAATTCTAAACCAACTGGGCAAATCAAGTGGCTATTTATTTTATTACTACTTCCTTCGAGACAAATTGATTTGAGCAACAAGAAAAAGAACAATAACAACAAATGGCATCTTTGGTTGGTGAAAAGATATGAATAAATGTTTCTATGATCTCATCTTAGTATGGAGTTTTTGTGGAAATCGGCTGATAGACCAATTCCTGTTACAGCACATGGCAGCGTGATGTTCCTAATGTATAGGCAATGGTTCCTATCAAAGTCATCAGGATAGGCTCTTATAATGGAAAGGAGGTTAAGCCTTAGGAGATAACCGGATGGCTTGGGGGTTTTTCAGATGAGATAATTGCATATAAGTAAACTAATTTTTATTTTTTCTCAATCAGTTATATGAATTTTACTTTGTTTTTTGTTTAAGTATATTAATTTTGTTTAATTATAAATTTAGTACTTTCGTCAATTTCTTGATTAAATGATGACGTATTTATTACTTTTAGAATATAAAATTACAATTTGACTTTTTTTTTCAATTGAGTATATATACTCAAACAAAAAAAGGACAAAATTGTAATTTAGGATTCAAAAGATAACAAACACTTCATCAATTAATAAAAAAATTGATAAAAAAGCTTGATTGACGAGTTTGAAAAGTTAATATACTTAAATAGAAAAAATTAAAACTCATAAATTCAATTGAAAAAATAGTATAAAATTATAATTTGATATTTTAGGAGTAACAAGTATGTATCATTTAGCAAAATAAAAAAATTGACAGAAATATTTAATTGATAATTTTTTTAAAAAAATAATGTACTCAATTGAAAAAAAATAAAAATTAATATACATATAGTGAAATTATCCTTTTATTTATTTATTTATTTTAAGATGATCATGGTCAAAAAATTAACCCTTAGGAGGAAACCGGATCCCTCGATCATCATGATCAATTTGTTACTGGTAGATTTTGATTTGTGAGAGGTCGGACCAAGTGCTTAAGGCGGCTGTGACACGCTCCAAATTGGACTAAGAATAATGGTTGGACAATTTTATAATACTACCACACATAAAGGCAGGCTTAATGGAGCTTTCATTGCTACCAAATTTTTTGGAATCAATTCTTGACTTGCAATCTGCTTCTATGTATCTTTGATTATTTGATCATGAATAAAACGCCTTATTACAAGTTCGGCTTGTTCGTCTGAATATTTCACCATAAACATGGCATTTGAACACCCCATTCTAAACAAACGATGGGTTTAGTCTCTATGGATATGAAGTTAGCTAGAAGATATCTCGTTAATCGTGTGTGTGTATATATATATATATAAATAAACCATTCTAGAAATAAAGTTAATTAATGAGAAAATATGTGTTGTTTTAAGGTTTTGAGCCATAGTCTGTTCCAAAAGTTAATTTGAAGTTTCTACCAGTTCAATAGGATTTTTCAATGTCTATGGATTAGCTGGGAATTGAATGAACGTACAGCTCAACTACCACATGTATAAATCATTGCAAAACTGGGGAATATGAAGGATGCTTTTGGACTATTGAAAAAGATATCATAGCATGGTCTGTTTTAATATAATTATGGGGTGTGCTAAGACAGACTTATTAGTTTTTAACTGTTTAAAGATATTAATTGTTACATGCTGTCTTGAGGTAGATCAATATATTGTCTCCAATTTTCTGAAAGTTTAATTTTTCGAGTTTGGCATGCATAATCATGGAGCTGGTAAACAGGTTCGTTCGTACTTTTACTGTATTAAGAGAAGATAGGAAACATTAAAACATATATATATAGGTCAATGTCAGAACACTTTGGAATTCTATGCTTTTTGGAGTATGCTGTAAATAAGATTTCCGAAATTCATTGCTCTGGTTCTTGTATCGATTGATTCTTACACTTTGAGAAGTAGTGCTTTGAAGGTCTCCATCGAGTCACTCAATGTGAGACTTGCGACTCAAAAAGTTCATTGCTCTGGTTCTTGTATCGATTGATTCTTGCACTTTGAGAAGTAGTGCTTTGAAGGTCTCCATCGAGTCACTCAATGTGAGACTTCGGACTCAAAAAGTTCATGGCTTGGTTGTTATCCAGTTCTTCCAAGTTTTTTTCACTTGCTTTGTCTATGATGAACTTAAATCAAGTTGCCTCTCTCCCAGCTCCAAGCATTTGCAGATGCCCTAAGATCAATGCTGTTTCACATGCCACATATCGTGTACCTGATCACAAAGCAGAAAACGTACGATTTTCCCTGTCCAAGATCTTGTAGAGATTTGATATAGATTACAAATGGCCAAGGCTAGCCCATCAAGCGTGGCGTAATTCGAAGCCCAAATCCAACTGTTCCTTAGACTGAGAGAAGTTGTTTGGCAGAGGAATGGATTTCCAAGGGTGAAAACCTTTCAACTCTGGACAATCACAAGCTTAAAGAATTGATTGTTAATCACCATTGCATTTGATAAAATCTTAAACCCAAATTTCTTGCCTGGTTTTGCAAAACGAATCCGAATTTTAGCTCAGTTTACAATGCTATGGGACAACTTATATGGGTTGAGCCCATTTTGTTTTTCGTTCTTGTGCTGGCAACTTAAAGGTGTACAAGGATGATCCATTTCCCTGGATCTCAGTGCGGAATGGCACGTATGAAGGTTTTTCTCATTCATCTGTTTTTTCAAAAAACGATTGGATTATCACATTGTACGTTTTTAAATAAGAAAACCTTCACCAGGATCATGATTTAAGCTTGAAAGAAATCATTTTGTGCATAATATAGGATAACAACTATATAAATATATTCAAGAAATGCATTGTTTGTGCACTTTCAACAATCTTTATTTTCTTCGATAAACATTGAAGAGACCTTTGAAATAATGATCATTGCCCACTTTCGGCACCGGTTTATGTGGTCCGAAAGCTATGTCTGAAGTGCCTGAATACTCATTTAGACCCTGTTGGTAGTGGAACTTGAGGGCTCTTATAAGTAGCCATCCAAATATGACCAAGACAGGTTCATTGTGATTGGTGCCTTCTTGGATCCCCCACAAAGATAAAAAAATTTGCTAGGATCAGTAAATAGTTACTCTCTTGGATCACCCACTACCTCTATTGCCTCTCCAACTAAGGCCTTTTTTTTTGGCTTGTCACCTCTCTCTCTCTCTCTCTCTCTCTCTTAACCCTAGTACATGCTTTAAAGAACTTCTAACTTCTTGGGATTTCGAATCATGGCTGGAATAGAAAATGAAAAGTCTCGTTTTCTTTGAGTACACAAGTGGCAATCATTTTACAATCATGTATGATTATCATGATGCCTTGTCCCCTCAAGTATAATCCTTTTACAAATAAATAAAAAATAATAATAATGGGAAAATGGAGGAAGGAAGTATACTCTACACTTTCGAATATTTAGGACGATAAAAAAGGAAGTAACACTCCATCCCTAATGACAAAAAAGATACTCATTGCCTAGCCTGCTAACTGACTGGCATGCTATGGCATCATAGAAATTCTCTTTTGCCAAATCTCCCAAGCTGGATGGTGAAGACATTGGAACAATGTCCAACCAAGTAGTATCGATTTAATTATTTGTTTATTTTCTTCAAGATACAGCAACCAAGGCATCAAATGATTATAGATGCCACCGAAGCGTGTATAGCAATATAATTAATCGAAATAATGCTCTTCATGTCTGCAAGCACATGACTAGTTTATACTGTCTCTTGTACTCTTAGATAAGGAGATAACTGAAATATTTTCAGGTATGCAAGAATCCCACAATGAAATCTGGAAATCTAATTCTGAATGGTTTATTTTGACATTAAGAGGATCCCTTTTTTCGGTGTTGAGCATCATGCAACAGAAATGATTAATTAGTTAAAACATGTATTCCATGTTCAACATATGGAACTCTGCATGTAGCCTCTGAGAGAGAGAGAGAGAAAGAGAGAGAGAGGTGGATTTTCATTACTCACCAGACCAGATTATCATAGTTTCATTACAAGGGAAATGACAAATGTGACTTTATTGCATATTTGATGCTGAAAAAAATTATGACAAGGGATATGTGGGGATGGACAATACATCCCAAAAACTCCCCCATCTAGGAAATTTTTGTAGCAGCCCCGCTTTACAATCCAGCTAATTGGATATTAGCCCTCCAATGGCACAATTTTCCCCTCTATATACAATCTGATTATTCAAAAAATGAACCATTATAGATATTGTGGTGAGACTGCTGAAGAAACTCACGGATGAAGTCCCTAGTTCTCCTTAAATCCAATTTGAGGCAATCCTCTGCATTTAAGCCTGCAGTCTCCATGGAATATAGATTAGGTCATCTCCTTCGATATATATGCGTTGGCACTGGGTATTATTAGGGATGATCATCTCATTGGCATGACTAGGTTCATGTACTTCTCAATGGTTCATCTAACAGTTGCAAACACTCTTGCGGATTGGCATAGAAATAATCTTCTTCCTTCGGTTTATCTGATACAACAACTCGTGTCTTTGGATTACCCATCCGATCAGCATGAGCTTCCTTCACAGTAGAAGAGAATTCATCCCAGCTCAATGACCCTTTATGGTATTGATCTATTAAACCGATCAGAAGCTTTCTGTCCAACGAAATAGTCTTCTTGAACCCTAAGAATCTGAAAGCCATCAAAAGACAGAGAAATGAATCATCTTAAATAGATGTTATCTTTCTTTCATTCATTTTTTCCAATGGAACTCTGGACAGTACAACATACATTAAATCTATCAAATACAAATTCCAAATATTTAACATCAATAAGTCATTCTTTAGTTACAGCAAGCATTCTTCTCTTTTACAAATTATTGCGAAGTAGTGGCAAGAAATTTATGCTGTAACAATAGAAGTTCATATAGGACATTTTAGTTTATTTTTAATGCTAGTAACTCTCAGTTCAGTTGAGAATGTATATTAGATATAGCAGCAATAAATTACCTGCGATGACCTTCAACAACTTTAGCCATATTGCCATCATATGTAGGAACAAATATGTCACTCTCCAGGGACACCAGATAATCTAATGCTGCCATTTGAGATGAATGGTTCTGGAAAAACTTCAAGTCTGATGGTTCCAAAAGAGTCTCTTTCCTGACCTGTTTCATGTTAAAAAGATTGATTATTTGAAGGCATTTGTTCATACAGATGTTAGAAGAAGCTGCTGCTTCCTTCTACTCACCAAATTAGGAAAAGCTGCTGCCAAAGTCTTCATCCTTCTTTCTCCGCCATATATTTCTCCGGCAGCAATATAAATTTGAACATTACGATCAATTCCAAGTGCACTTAACACTAGGGCAGTTTCCTCGGGAGTCAACGGACACAAACCTTCTCTCCTTTTCATTTCAGAATTAATAACTTTTTCCTTCCACCAGGGATAAGAAAATCTGACCAAGTAAAATTTGTGAAATTTAGTTGTGTTTAAAATTAACAACATAATAACAAAGTAATAGAGAGAAAATTACCTCATTCTTGTGAGTTGTTCAACTTCCTCATCATTGCAACCATGAGTGCAGCCGGAGAAAGCCAACATGTCCATTTCATATCTGAGATGAAGCACCAGGAAAGGGCCTTTCTCCCTCAATATCCTAACAACCCTTCTACCCAGTTCTTCTATCTGTGGCGTAAACTTCAAAGCATTAAAATTTACACGGCAGCGCAACTTTTGGATCTCAAGAGGAAGTCCATTGTTAGCAAGACGAGCATCTGTTTTGTTCAAATGCACAACTTTGAACTTTTGCAGCAGAGGAAGAATCTGTCGGCAAACACTTTAGAAAATTAGTCGCATTAGCCCAAATGCATAGCAACAGCAAAAGGAAAATGAAAAGTTTAATGCCAACTTTAGAATTCTAGTGAACTTACCTGATGGGTGTAGTAAGAAATGTTTGACCAGCTAACAGGAGGTAATGAGTAGAACAATCCCAAATCTACTCGTGTTTTGAGCCTAGGTGGAAGCTCTTTCAATATACGAACCTCGCCCCTCAAGGAAGTGATGAAATGATGAACATCAAATATGTCTTGAAACTCACTGCCTCGCAATGAAATTAATGAATTGATCAGACATATCACTGACATTTCTGAATTGAATTTGGCAGAATGTTAATTTTTCAAGACTTTATACTAGTGAAATTACCTTGGGTCATTCCAAAATGAGGTTTTGTCCAACTCTGGGACAATAAGAGTAACATTTAGATGTCTTGCAATAGCGACCATATCACATATCTGCATAACATGTCCAGAAGTGACAATAAATCAAATTGTTACCGCAGCAAATTAGACAGACCATGAAGAATCAAAAGGCAATTTAAATATTGATGATTTATGATTAAAGAAGCAATCAACTCACTGCTGCTCGCATTTGGTTCAGTCCTCCGTTGCAAGAAACCATAAGATACCCATTATTCTTATAAATTCCTGGAAGCAACAATTACCAAATTTAGAAAAAAGAAAAAATTGAAATTTCAGAAATTTAAAGGGAAACATAAATAAATAAATAAATAAGAAATGAACCAGCTATAAGATAAACAAGTTGAAATCTTGATTTTTGTCACAGGCAAATCAACAATGGTACAGAAACATTTATTGTAGTCATGATCAGCAAATCAATCCATGTTAGAAAGAAGAAATGGATGAACAGCATGAAAGGGCAATAACTCATTATAGCAATTATCTCCAATTAATGGTTAGAACAAATGGATGAAAACAAAGGATATACAAAAGGAAAGCACATGATTTTTTTCTACTTTAATGAATATCAACAACTTTTTCCAATGTCAATGCTCAACAATAACTAAGATGAAATTAATAAAAGCATAAACTTACTCTTTGGAGGAAGAATAACTTTGGCAGGAACAGAAGTTAACTCAACCTCTTGATGACTAAAACAAGAAGGCCAACTTTTTAACAATCTTGGCCCCCAAATCTCTCCCAATGCCATCAAATGAACCACACAAGTCCATAACAATACAGTTGTGATTGCCCTTATCATCCATAGCTTCATTGGAGACCTTGAAACCACAGAAGTTTTCAACTTTTCAACCCTTCCACAACCAAATAATTTCACTTTCATCTCCCATTCCTCAACAGAGTCCTCTGTCTTCCACATTCTTAACATTTCTTTCCCTCCAATCTCACCAAACCCACTTTAACAACTCCCTTAATATGTGTCAAATTCAAGATTTAACACAATAGATGCTCTCTCTCTCCCTACTTGATTTTTTGTATCTAAATGAATTGTCAGATAATGCTCACTCTTAAACAGACAAAGAGATTCTTTGGACTTGATTAAGATAAAAAAAAACAAAAAAGCTTGAAGGTCTAAAACCCTTCCTTGTTTCTATAAACTTTCCTTTTCAATTAAAATAATCAAAGACACCAGCTTCATATTCTTTCGTTACTTTAATCTCCAAAAACACCAAACTTTGTCAGCTTTCAGAGCTCCAAAACAATTAACTTCAATATCCAAAAGAAACCCAGAAACGATATGCAAGATTTTGAACTAAATCTTAGATAATAAAAAATCCCAGTTTGAGCTCATTACTGACAATCTCTCATAAAAGGCTTACTGGTACGGCAATGAGATGTGGTTAAACTTGAAAAAGAAAATGTGAGTTTTGGAGAAGGAAAGGTATGGAAAGAAGGAGATTTTTAGGGCTATTGTTTTCCGACGAGATTCCCGGCGAGATTTGCCAGAGAAACTAGTCGGAAAATGAGAGAGAGAGATAGAGAACGCGTTGTAATGGGAAATGCAGGAGAGGAGAGAGGCAGTAATTAAAGAGGTGAGAGCGTTGAGGTATTTAACGCCTCCTAGTGTTAAAGTTGAAACCGTACCTTAATAATAATAATAATAATAATAATAATAATTCTTTTTTTTAAAAAAAAAAACTTTATTATTCATTTTATCTGTCAGAAAAGTTACGACAGCCATGGTATTCGTCCTTAAACATCAGATTTCAATCAATTTTGCAAAATCCAGATAATATAAACCCCTTAAAAATGGTATTACATGTGATTTATTAGTTGGTTTTACCTTAAAAATGAAATGATTTATGTCATTTGAAAAACTAATTTGAACTCAATTGCAATAATATAAAATAGTTAAAATAAAAAACATGTTAAATGAGTAAATGCAAAAAATAGGTTAAAACAATTATTAATTATTTAAATTACGATATAATGGAACAATTTCTCACTATTTCTTAGCTGTTATATGAATAGTCTTCCTTTTTCTTTCCTTCGAGATAAAACGTGATTGATTATGATGAGATGCTCAAAATTCTCACCTTTTTCCTTTCTTTTTTTTTTTTTTTCCCCTTTTTGCAAGATAAATTATTATCATAAATAGTTTGTTTGTTTTTTTATATGGAAAAGATGAATCAAGTGTGAAAAGAAAAGGACCAAATAGGAATATGACACAACATATGTTCACCCAATCTTCGTTCCTTTTGACAGGCAAGACTAGAAAACAGAATTTACTTTCTTGGTAATTAAACTTTTTAATTTTTAATACTACTACTACTATTATATGAATTAAATTACAAATTAATCCTTTTTGTTTTGAAAAACTAATTAATTCATCCTTTTTGTTTTAAAAACTAATCATTTAGTCTTTCGTTATTAAGTTTTTGTTAAATCTATCAAATTAATATATGATATTTAAAATATCTTTTAACATATATATACATCCACGAAAATGTGTTTTAATACTTACGGAGAGATAAAGTAAGTGAAAATAATAAAATGAAAAGTAAAGATTTGAAGAGAAAAATGAAAATTTGTTTTGGTGCTTGAGAAGAGAAAAACAAAAAATATATATGTCAAGGAAAGAAATAATTCATAAAAAAAAGATTAATTTAAAAAAAATACTATAGTAAGAATACTCCATCAATATTTTAATAGAAAATTGACAAAAACACTAAATTATTGAAAGAATTAAAACGTAACTATTAGTTTTTAAAACAAGAGAGACTAATGAATTTGTTTTCCAAAACAAGAGGGACTAATTTATAATTTACTCTAATTACATGTGGGTAAATTGGTAGGTGAAAGCTGAAGAAAGTATGAGGTTGTACGAGGATGGGCCCACAAAAAGAAAGAAAAGTTGATTTTGACTAAGGTTGTAGCATTGGACAACACATCAGCAAATTATTTGGGTTATGCTGTGGCATTGAATTATGTTGGTGCACTACTGCTAGTTTTGGGATTGCATAAAAAAAATATGTTGGGTTTAATTTGGAAAAGATAAGTTGTATTATTATTTATGTCTATAATTGTACGGAAAGGAAGCTAGTATAACTAAGAGTAACGTACACATCATAGGGACATTTCATGGACAAGGTAACTGAATTTCCTTTTCTTTTTAGATGAAAAAATAGCCAAGTAGATCGTTCTCTTTTCTTTTCTTTTCTTTTCTTTTAGTTACTATATGAAATATTTCTATTAATTTAATGATTTGGTTTTGTATGAAGTATTAATATTATTTATTCATATATTTGAGAAATTCAATTCTAAAAGAATATTACATTTTTTATTGAAAAAATAGTAATAAGTTTTTCAACTAATTAAATAGGATGATGATATATAATTGCATAGAATATGCATATAAAGAAAACAATGGGACTAATTCCTATTAAAACCAAGGGAGATAATTAGCTGTGGGGCATCATAATTTTCAAAAACTAATGTCGATCCTAAAAAAATAATAATAATAATAATAAATAGAAGTTATGGGTTCCCAATCCCTTGTTAATTCATGTCTGCTGGTGGAATTTAATAACGCTATATACACTTTACCTTACAATAGAAAGTATGATTATACAGCATATTGTTTTGGCTTCTACAATTTCGACAAGTGCCTGTGATTCTTGTTTGTCATGCATCCAGGTCATCTCAAAGCAGCAATCTTTCAATTGGTTGAAAACCTTTGTTCATTAATTAATTAATATAGTAATAAACAAAATCCAATTAGAGAAGAGCTAATGATCGAACAATCACATTTTGGAAAATTATATAATATCCTTAGCTCGTAAAATCAACTATATGTTGCTGAGGTCGATTCATTCGTGTTTTTTTTTATCATGGAATTTTTTGTTCCCCTTTTCCTCCAGCTTATAATGTACTTTACAAGACATGGTTTTTATTAAATGGGCAATTCTGAAAGGAGATTAGTGTCTATCGACTAGTTCAGCTCTTGATTTTTAACACAGCGACAGATTTTCCAGTCATCCCTTCACGTCGTATCTAAAGCAATTCTCCTCGTACATGTATGGAGTTAGAAACTTAAAATATATATATTTTTTATCAAAATATGGCACCATGCCCCAAAAGCCCATAAAGAAAATCCCCTCCCCCAAGAAAAAAGAAAGATGATAAATGCAGAATCCCATTGGTAATCTGATCTCTCAAGCATAAATGTAATTTTTAAAGCACAATTAATCTATTTTTAATTAGTCTCTTAACCAGCAATTTTGTATTCAGAATTGTAAAAACCGTGGCGTCTAGCTGAAGTATATGAAAATATCCATGCGGCCATGCCTAACCACCCCATAAAACCAAACTTGTACCCATTTCCAAATTTTTTTTATTCATGTTTCTGCTTCTCATGGTATCGAAGTGCAATGGTTATGAACCCTAAGGCAATAAATTGTTATAAATTGAAAACCCATGATGTCAAATAAAAATTAAAAGGTTCTTTTCTTCGTCATGGTAGGTTGGTTGGAGTAGATTCGGTAAAGGGAGGTAGGAGAGACGAGTAATAAGGGTTAGAATGGCTGGTTGAGGAAGAAGAAGAAAAAGAAAACAAAAGAACAGAACATAAAAATTAAATAGAAATGGATTTGGATTTGGACTCGTGTCAGGATATGCTCAAAGGTTACTGGATGATTGATGATTGACCGACAACTCTAATTTTGAGTAAAATAAAGATCCAGTCAAGATGATTTTAAAAGTTAAAAAAAAAAAAAAAAAAGAGTAAACGAATAGAAAAGCAAAAGTAAAGATATACGTATAAGTGTTTAGGCTTGTGAATCCAATCATGGAAGTGCGAGTTTACCTTATCTACAAGGAAGTAAAGATGGCGTTCCTTTATAATTGGTTCAAATGTATGTGTATCCGTAAGATCTGGTTGATGGTAAAGGAAAAACATTGGAAGGTCGTACGTAGCCGGCTTTCTTAACTCTCACATGGCCCTTTTGTTCCTTCCAAAAATTTACAAGAGGTACAGCTTCTCTTGATAAGGAAACTTCATGTTATGCACAGGCTGTCATCCCCGTTATTATTATTGAATTCAATGTGGGTATTATATTTCACACCAACCAACGTGATTTATTTCATGGTATTCTTCGCTTTTTTTTTTTTTTTTTTTTTTAAGAATGATTCGTAGCTAGCTATATTGCTGAGTGGAGTATGGAGTAGGCAACCATTAGTTTTGTCCCGGAGATGTTTTGGAGCAGCTTCGGGACTAAGAGATAAGAAAAGAGATGCAAACGGAACACCCAATTATGATTCTCTGAAAGTAAATAATCTGAAGTCCAATCTTCTCAAGGATAATGAAAACGAAAATGCTTAGCTACATCACGATAATAGATACCATTTTAAAACATAAAAAATTTTTAAAGATAAACTTGAAAAGTAAAAAAATTAAATGACATAATACTCATTGAAATATGATGAAAAAGTATCTAATTTTTTTCCTCCTTTGTATCATTTTTTTTAAAAAAAACACTATCTTAGAAAATTATAATGATTTTTTTTGACATCACTGTTATTATGTAGTACTACTCTAATGAAAAATATCAATACTCTAGTTGTCGTCAAAATATATGTGCTGACTTTGATGAATAAAAAATAAATAAATAAAATTGAATGAAACAGAATAAATAAAAAATAGAAAATTAAGGGAGTGAAGGGCGTGCAAATGGCAAATGGGGAATGGGGAATCCACATGGTTAAACGATCGGTTTAATTATTGATAAATAATACGTTTAATTTCCTTTGATTAATGGTAGATGCGGGAGTTAAATAAAAAGAAAACATGAGATCTTTCTTTAACAAACTCGGTAGTTAGGATAGTCGATATTTGAAGAAATTTCCAAAAAAAAAAAACATGATCAATCTGCACACTTCTTTTGGGACTTAAAAGATTTTGTGATCTTATCATTCTAGAAGATTCTATAAACCCTCGAGCTCAATATATTTTTTTTTCTTACTTTACTCTTGTAAATGGTTCAAAATCTTATTTTATTTACGTACATTAATATTTATCTTAATTAATATTTTTTAAATTTAAGATAGACTCTTAGTTCGATTTTATTTATTTATTTGTATTGCAAATAAGTCTTAGGTCTTAAAATAGCATACATAGGTGAACAACCTCTCAATGTACTATTTCAATACAAACTTTTTCAAATTTTCTGCAAATTAATCTCTCTCATAATTCACTTTTTGTAAGTTTATTGTTTATAGTTTTACGTTTTATTTTTCTTTATTGCATTATTTTTTTATAGCTTTATTTGTTGCGTTCTTTAGAGCTTTCTTTACAAACTTTCATTTTATTTAATTACTTTCTTTTCTGTACAATTTAAAGTTTTTTTCAAGCATTTTGCTCGATGCAAACTCCTTACAGTTTACTCACTAGGTTGATACTCATGCTACGCTGGACATTTTTTTTTTCTTTTATTATTGAATAGACATGTTAAGATGTCAAACTACTACATGACAGGAAAAAAAAAATAATAACGGTACCAGTTGAAGAAACCAAAATTTAATAAAAGAAATACGCATGCAGGCTAACTAATGGCTGGTTTTCTTCTTCTTATGGTAATACGACTACTATATGAACTTGCACAACAGTATCCACATATTCTATCAAAATAGCTACCCTAAATATTGATCAAGAATTTACACTGTTGAAGAGTAAATCTATAACATCTCTTGATTTGTAAAGCATAAGCTCTATATTACTAAAATCTTCATCTCTTACTTTCTTAGAAAGCATCAATAATTTTAATCCCCCAATAAAATTTGAGATCATTTCAAATTATTTTCAATTTTTTAATAGTTAATGTTTAATAAAAAAAAATTAAAATGCTTCTTCATCTCAATCAAATTTGAAATTATAGCTGATTATTATTATTTTTTTCATTCATTACAAGTTTATTTAAAGCACACATTAATTAGAATATGTTGAAGATGAAAACAATAGATAAATTTTATTTTATGTATTTGTAAAGTTAAGTTATGTTATATGAATGAATTAGTTGCATTCAATAATAAACTTGTAAAAAAATTTGTTACATAATTAAAAAGAAAATGTTTTCCAGTTAACACCCTCTCTCAAGTTGAAAGAACACACACAAAACTTGGATGTAAGTATAAGAAATCGATTCGGAGCTAGAAGTTTAGTAAGTTTGGAAATTTTCCCTTTAATTAAAATTTACAATCAATAAAAAAAATATTTATTTGTGTAAATATAAAATTGTTACCACAATTATGGAAACATAAATTAACCAATGAATATATTTTAAGGAACGAGGTAAATTTCATTTTGCCATTTAAGTAACAGAGTTTTATCAAATTCTTTCCAAAAGTGTGTTTCTATTGATTTCTTCCTTCACATTCGATCCATTCATCAATGAACTCCTTTCTTCTGTCTCCATTAAGTAAGAAAGCTAATGAAAAGTACTTTTTTATTTGCAATCTCCAGTTTTCTTCATAGTTAATCAATTAACGTTCTCAAAAAAATATTTCATGTGATTCGTTTTAAATGTATAATACCAAGTTTAATTTTAAAAACAAATTCACTAGACTTTTATTTAAACTTCTTCTAGATCTTCTTTCTCGACCTTGGTTTATTTTATCTTATCCTCGGACTTCCCCTTTCTCAAGATCAAGCTCGGTCATTTTTTTGATCATTGTGAAAGTAAAATTGATTAGACCGTCATATTCGACTCCAATGCATGATGATCAGCCCTTAACCGCCTTAAGGCATTCTTAGTTTATTGGAGTCGAACTCGGAGCTCCTCCTTTTCTTTCTCCAAGGCATTCATTGTTTGGTCTAGTGTTTTCAAGTTTTCTTCTAACTTTTTTTTCTTGCTCTTCAACTCTTTCATTTAGGAATTCAAGTTTTTATGATAAAGTTCCTGTTGAACATTTACTTCTTAGCGAATGTGCTCTACGGTCTAGCTCATCGACTTTGAACAACCTTCAAAAGATGCAACTCGATACCATTTCTTTCTAGTTTGTTGTAGAAAATCAAGAGAAGTATTTCCATCAACTCTTCTTAGTAGAGTGATAGTCCCCTTGTATCTCTAGGCTCTTTTGGCTTCTTTCGAAGTTTTTTAGAAGTTCTAAAGTCTTCATAATGTTTTGCCAATCCGATAATCCTTCGGATGAATTGCTTAAAGCCCAACTACCTCATGAACATATTTAGACAATGGCTAATGTAACACCTTGCTCCAAAGAGAGGTACCTAGGAAAAACTATCATGGTAAGCCAAATAAGAGCAAAATAATGCATAATACGCTCTTCAATAGAATTCAAATTACTCTAAACTAAGGAACATTTTAGTCTAGGTGACCTTGAAAATGTTATTGAGAGGATGGTCGGTAAAATTTTGTAACTTTGAATATAAATGACAAGGTGCTTTGAAGATTCCAATAGCTTTTTTAGTCACCAACTCACCTGTCTAGACAAACTACAACCGAACACAACATCTCAAGTATCATTTTCTATGATCATTCCGAAAAATCTTTTATGTGTTTGGACGTGCCTTGTCGAGTATCTAAAGGTACATATTTGTACCTACTCGACCATGTATCGAGCATCCAAATGCACATGCTCGCACATGCTTGATGCCAAGCATCCGAAAGTACATGTCTATACTCGTTTAGGCTTGTCAAGTATCTAAAAGTACATGTCTATACTTGCTTGAACTTGTCGAGTATCTAAACGTACACATCTATATCCACTCGACCCATGAAAATCATAAAATCCATGGAGCTTAAAACCTTTTTGTATTTTTCCTTTGGGAAACCATGAAGGAATTTTCATGACTTTAAATCTTTTCATGACTTGACAAGCACATGCATTTAAATGTAAATGCATAATCTTCATGAAAACCATGTAATGTATATCATTTGGGATGTGCATTTATGCCATGACATTGCATGCCTCAACATTAATAAATGCACAACAAGATAATTACCTTGTCATTCATGACTAACCATCCAAAATACACAATACAACCATTGGAAAATCCATATGATGCACCATAAAATGTCACATTTTATAGCATTAACCAATTCACCAACATTTGCACTAAATGTCCATTCAAACCAAAACTTCCATAAACATAAATTTTTATACCACAAAATATAATTGCATACTTTGAACATGTGCATTGCATTTAATTCACCATGAAATCATACACTTCAACAATCGGATATTCAATCATCAAAACATGCCCAAAACACTAATTTCCACATATAGGTCAAAATTTCTACCTAAGTTAAACTAGGTAATTTTTTTTTATTTTAATATAATTTTTCATACTAAATCATCTAATTACATTATAATCAATCAAACATTAAATAACCAAAACACTAAAAACTCGTTAATTTGACTATTCGAGCCGAATGGTCCTCCAACTTATTTTCATGTCCAATTAACATTTTCCAACTTCAATTTCACCTTTAATTTATTTTTTTCCAATTTGACCTAACTAAGAAACCTAACCCTAATTCACCAAATGAATCTAATTAAACACAAATTAATTGGATAAAACTAATAATTAACATCAATTAACATACTCTTGTAATGTAAATGAGAATAAGTTACTTTAAAAGCTCAAAATTAGTCTTGATTAGGTTGGTTTGCCTTGAAATTTTTCTTCCTCTTTTTCTCCTCCTAGATTCGACCAAGACCCTCTTTTTTTCCTCGAAAATTTTGATCTTCCACCTAAAGTTCTAAGCTTAATGAAGTGTTTTATGATGGTTTTTGGTGTTTATGTGAGATTATTTATGATTTTCTATGAAACATTTACAAGAATTTCCCTTAGATTTTTCAACATTTTTCTTTCTTCTTTTCTAGCCCTATTTATAGATGAACTTATGTAGACTTTTTAATTGTTTGACTTGATCTTAGCCCTTCATTTGGTTTAATTTCTACCCTTGATTTTTCTTTTAATCCTAGCCTTTCAATTGTTTTAATACTAGCCTTTCATTTTTCTTTAAATCTCATCTATCCATCTAACTTCATCTTAGCCTTCCATTTTTTTCATAAGTCAAAGTTCATTAGTTATCCTTAATTAACAAGGGTTAGAGGTAGCAAAATATGGAAGAAAATATCTTCCAAAAGTTTTTATTTTAGTTCCTCAATTTCTCACTTTATCCCATTTTTTGCTCCTAATTTTTAGTCCTTTCTTTTTTAATTGACCATTTTTTAGTCCTTCCTTAAAGCTTTTCTAACAAATTTTTGCTTCCTCAAATCCATTTACAATTTTATTTGAAAGTCTAAACTTTTAATTTTATGCAATTAGGTCCCTAATTCTATGCAATTAGATCCCTATGT